GAAAGGATTGGAGGACGGCTACAACGGGAGGATTGATTTCCCCTCCGGAAGCTTCTCCATCAATCCCTTTGGCTTCCTGTGAGTGCAGACGTGCTTCTGTCATCATCACTGCTGCAAGATCTGTGTGTGGCTGTTAATACACTGCAGAACATGCTGATCTCACGTAGAGCTTGTCTTGTTTCTAGTGCAAATATTTTAAGATTCTTAAAGGAAGACAAGCACAGCATGTTGTAAATGTGCAGTGTAGCTGTGTGTCCATCTGCAGATCATCAGTAATATCACATTAATCATCAGTGAGGAGATCAGCGTCTCCATCAGTGCTGCACAGTAGAGCATCTCCTCCTCAGCTCCTGCTGCTCCTGCACTGAGAGGAGTGGAGTCTGCTGCTGCACTATGGGGATTCTCCACGGTGCTGTTTGTTCTCCTCTAATGGCTGGTTTCCACTGACTGGTACAGTACTGCAGGGTTCGGGTTGGTACGGGTCACCTTTATCAGGCTTGCGTTTCCACTAGCAAGGGTCCCCTTTTGGTGAGAGTGTATGACAGAAAGTTTCAGTCGCATCATTCTCACTCGAGGAAATGTCTACAGTAAAGCTGTACGGGTCGCTCACATATCATAGGAAAAGCTCTGAACAGACGCTTTACACACATAAACACTTCTGTATAAATGTTTATTACTGACTTTTCTCTGAACAGGAGTTGAATATAACTGCAGATCAATGACAGTGTGAAATATTCTATTGTAACGTCTGTAATTATATTAAATAAATGAACATATATGAACACACACAGCCCCTCACAGTCCTCGATATGTTACCAACTACAGAAAAACTACACACAGCAGACCTTTCATGCTTAATTTGCTTCAAAACAACTCAAAGTATAGCCTATAGTCAGAGCAAACCGCTCATCTGTGTGTGTAATCTTCAGCAGCACGTGTCATGTAGCCTCAGTTAGAGTCACTGCATCATTCCCAGTTCATATTAGTCCAAAAGGTGATGCTAATAATGAAAACAAGGCAGTTTGTTCACGTTTGCTGAAGAAATAACGTGCTCCTTTTTCCCGCGCTCCACTCACGCGTTCGTCCTTTTCTGAATGTGTCACTCTCGGGTTTGTCAGCTTCTCACAGGATCGGGTTTATAAAGCTTGTCAATAATCAAGCGCATGTTATCATCATCAGCTCAAGAAGTTTGCTATTTATACAGATATAGGCGAGCGCGAGCAAGAAAGCCAAACCGCTCGCTCCTCAGACTGACTCGTAAAAAACTACGAGGCACAGGGTAGATTCTGCTCTACTCCATGCTTTGTGGCCGTTCATCAAGGTTTGTTTGAGCCCGGATTGTAATCTCTCACTGTGTGTTTCAAACATGGCGGGTGCTTTGTTTACATTCTGGCTTGTTGTGCAAGCGAATGACGTATCTCTGTTAACCAATAGCGTTCAGCTGCGCGTCTAGCTCCGCCTTTTGGTACACTTTCTTTTGTTTGGGAGCCTTTCGACAGGGTGCCTGAAAAGTGGTACGGTGTGGTTCAGTACGCCTTTTGACAGTGGAAACGGCCATAAAAGCGTACCAAACCAAACCGTACCGTACCACTCAGTGAAAACGGGCCATAATAAATGAGCCTCGGAAAACCAAGACCAAACACAGAGAATGCGGTGGATTCTGGAGGAGTGAGACGGCAGTGCAGACAGATGCTCAAGACAGTTCTTGTGATGACGGACTGACAGAGGACTGAGATCTTTTACAATCAGCACAACAACATCTCACATCTGACACGATGGAGAGCTGAAATCTAACATTAATCACACACACACACACACACACACACACACACACACACACACACACACACACACACACACACACACACATTTAAATCTGTCAAATCATCTGGCAAAAACTAAAGCACATCACACACACACACACACACACACACACACACACACACACGCACACACACACACTGATGAAGCGCAGGCTTTACTCACTAAAGCTGTTTCTTCGTGTTCTTCCTGCTCAGTCTTGTCTTGGATGGGCATTTTCTAAACATGTGCACGTCTTGGCGTCTCCATTATGCATTTATTAATGTGATATTGCAAAATGCGCATATAAATCTCCGTGTGTGCGCGTTCTGACTGTGTCTCCTCTGCGGTTCAGCCTCTTCCAGATGGGTGGAGATCTGGAGGATCTGGAGGCGGCGCTGAATAAATCCAGCCAGTCTCGGAGCGTGGGTTCAGGCTCCTGCTCCGCTCTGATCAAGCTGCTTCCGGGCCACAAGGACCTGCTGGTGTCTCACGATACCTGGAACAACTACCAGTCCATGCTGAGGATCATGAAGAGATACAGCTTGAGCTACCGCACGTCTCCCACAGGTATACACGCCTGCAGAGCATCTCAGGTTGAGTAGAAACTGGATTATTCTAATAATCAGATGGTATTCGGGTCTGCCGTTACACATGAAGAGCACAGCCAGTGGAGATGATGAAGAGTTTACAGATCTCAGCTGAGTTACCAACACTGAATGAGCACTGTTCACAGAGGAGCCATCAGAGGTTTGACCCACTGAAGTGTTCATAATGCAGTAAACCCTTCAGATGTTGAGCAGGTGTCTGAATCCTTCATGTGGAGATCCACACATCTGTTATTGAGTCATTCACTCCAGCTCAGTCTAATACAATATCATTCACTTAAATTACTTCATCAGGGCGGCACGGTGGCTCAGTGGTTAGCACTGTGGCCTCACAGTAAGAAGCTCTCTGGTTTGAGTCTCGGCTGGGTCAGTTAGTGTTTCTGTGTGGAGTTTGCATGTTCTCCCCGTGTTGGTGTGGGTTTCCTCCAGGTGCTCCGGTTTCCCCCACAGTCCAAACACATGCGCTATAGGGGAACTGATCAACTACACTGGCCGTAGTGTATGAGTGTGTGTGTGTGTGTGTGTGTGTGTGTGTGTGTGTGAATGAGCTGGAGGCACATCAGCTGTGAAAAACATATGCTGGAATAGTTGGCGGTTCATTCCCCTGTGGCCACTCCTGATGAATAAAGGGACTAAGCTGAAGAAAAATGACTGATGAATTATTATAAAGCTTCAGCAAACACACGTCCAGGCCTCTAGTAGATTACATAATGAACCCATCATCACTGTAAGCTGCTGTTGTCCAGAATCAGTCATCTGATCTCTATAGTGCATTCCTCACTAGAACTGAGCCCAGTTGAGCAGGATCTGAACGGTTCTGACTGATGTTGAAGTCTGCAGTTCTGGAAATCCTATATGAGCATGATTATCAGTGTGTGCAGAACAGCGCCGATGGTCCTGCTGCTGTTCTCCGTCCTCTTCACTGATCTGATCTGATCTGCCTCTTGTGCTTCTGCAGAACAGGACGTGATTCCTGGAGCAACGCAGGTGTTTTCCTCTTATCCGGGCAGCATCTTCTCAGGAGACGACTTTTACCTGATCAGCAGTGGTTTGGTAAGGAGACGCCGGTTCAAGCTTTATTTATCCTCAGGGTTTATTCCAGACATTGAAAGTCAGAGAATTGTAATATGTATGGTTTGTTTGAAGAGTAGAATATCAGGATTAAAATAATATAAACATAATTTATATATATATATATAGACATATACACAGTTGTTCACAGTATTTCCTCTAATATCTGTTCTTCTGGAGAAAGTCTTATTAGTTTTATTTGGGCTAGAATAAAAGCAGTTTTTAATAGTGTTAAAGTCATGTTTAGGTCAATATTATTCACCCCTTCAGCAATATTAGTGTTGGATAGTCTCCAGAACAAACCACTGTTATACAATGACTTGCCTAATTACCCTAACTTTACCCTAATTACCCTAGTGAAGCCTTTACATGTCACTGTAAGCTGAACACTAGTGTCTTGAAGAATATCTAGTCTAATATTATGTGCTGTCATCATGGAGAAGAGGAAACACATCATGTGCTGAAATCTGCTCTGTTAAACAGAAATTGGGGGATAAAATCAACAAGAGGGGCGAATAATTTTGACTTCAACTGTATTATTATTATTATTAGTAGTAGTAGTAGTTGTAGTAGTTGTAGTAGTATTAATTTATTTAACAAAATAGTACTTTTCCCCCATTGTTTCACACCTATTGTTAAGGTTGGGCTGTTTTTCATGGTTAGGCTCCATTTTACTTCTTTCACGCTCCTCAGCTGGCCTGTTAACATCTTAATTAAGCCAAAAATGTAGGAATAACATCAGTGTAAGAGCTTTGTCTCCAAAATAACCCCTTTAAACTGGTTGATAAAAAAAAAAGCAGAAAAGATGAAAAAGCAGAGGACAGAAGAGCTAAATATAATGAGCTCAGATCGAGCTCTCAGACATGGAGTGATTCAGCTGAGATGCATTAGCTGTTGTTGTTCTCCTATTGGCGATTAACATCACGCAACATTACATTCAAGCTGAAACCATTTTTAATTTGTTGTAACATGCATTATATTATTCATATATAATCCCACCATCAGCCAGTTTAGCGTTCTTTAGATGTCATGGAAATGTGGAGTTTAGTCAGTGAGTGTGCTATTGGGCTTAAAGCAGGAGTCCTGCATCTGAACCTGTTTGGGTTGTATTGTTGTACTATTGAATGAATGTTTCAGGTTACTCTGGAGACGACGATCGGCAACAGTAACGCGGCGCTGTGGAAGTTTGTGCAGCCGCGCGGCTCCGTGATGGAGTGGCTGAGGAACATCGTGGCCAACCGGCTGGCAGGAGACGGACAGAGCTGGGCCCAGATATTCAGCAGATACAACAGCGGAACGTAAAGGACTGTTCATGACGCACACACACACACACACACACACACACACACACACACACACACACACACACACACACACACACACACACACACACTTACACTGCTGTTTCTCTCCTCCAGCTACAATAATCAGTGGATGGTCGTGGACTATAAGAACTTCGTCCCGGGACAGGCCGTCGCAAAGCAAGGGCTTTTCACAGTTCTGGAGCAGATCCCGTGAGTGAGCTTTACTTTCCACAGATCTGTGATCAGCCTCAGTACATGATTGTTTGCATGAATAAACTGATTCTAGCTTTGTTTGGTGTTGTGTTGTACTGCAGCTCCAGACATGGCATTAGTGGACTGAACACTGCATAACAGGCTTTTCTTGCTTAGTTTCTGTCCTGTTTCTAGTCCAGATATCTAAAAACTCTCAAATCAGTCCGCATTTTCCAGACGAGCACAACATATAGTGCTGTTTTCAGCAATAATGAGTCAAAATGAAGAGAGTTTCTCCTGAAAACAAGCACTGCAAAGCAAAACAAGCGCTGACGATTGATGTGCAGTTGTCCTGTCTTCTGTCTGTTTTCTCCAGGGGAATGATCAAAACCGCAGATAAAACTGCAGAGCTGTTTCAGACGGGCTACTGGGCCAGCTATAACATCCCGTGAGTATTAACATCATCAAGTCAACGCTGTGGGTGTCTGTGCTGGACAGATAACACACCGTCTGTTCTCCTCATAATCATCATATATACTTTCACCGCTGTGTTATTGAAGTTTCTGTCTCGTATCGAGTCCAAATACCAACAAACTATTAAATCGAGAAGCATTTTCTAGACAATAAGTGGTTTATTTATTTGTTTTATTTTATTTTATTTTATTATATTATTTATTTATTTATTTTGTTTATTTATTTCATTTTTATTTTATTTATTTGTTTATTTTTAAATTTATTCATTTATTTTATTTATTCATTTATTCATTCATTTATTTTATTTATTTATTTATTTTTTAATAATATTTTTTTCAGATTCTTCACTGTTTCATGAACAAGCAAATACAGCGTCGGAAACAGAACAACAAAAAACACTGCAAGAGGAATAAATACACACACTCACACACACATACTTAATTCGGAACATGTAGTGGTTACTCTATTTTAAGGTGATGTAGATACAGTGCAATATTAATCGAGTACTGAGTAATATTAATAAATACATGTGTTTACTCTATGGTTGGGGTTAGAATGTGGGTTAGGGTTAGTTGCATGTAATTCAATGTAATAACTATAGCAGTAGAACACGTCACCGTCAATTTACAGGAGACCAAGGACAGAGGAGCCGTGATCTGGATCACCAGCCTCATCACTGATCACATTTAAACATCTTGTAAATGTTTTATCAGTGTTTTTGTACAATGCAGGATTATTAATTGTAAATTATATATTGAATACTTTTGCATTGTAGCCGCTGCTGCTGATATGACCACATAATATTTAATAAATCAATAAGATTCCTCTGGTGTACAGCAGCGCAGTGGTTATAGCGGGTCTGGTATAAGTGCTGTAGCGGGTCAGGGTTAGTGTAAGTGTAATATGTGCTGTTGTTTGCTGCTGTAGGTACTTCGAGGAGGTGTTCAATGCCAGCGGAGGTCAGGAGCTGGTCCAGAAGTACGGATCCTGGTTCTCCTTCAGCCAGAACCCAAGAGCTCAGATCTTCCGCAGGAACCAGACGCAGGTGACCGACCTCCAGTCCATGGAGCGTCTGATGAGGTACGAGCTGGTCCAGAGTTCTGCGTGTCTCTGATCAGTGTCTGCTGTGCTGCTTCAGACCGGGGATGCACATACACCATCTGAGCATCGATATCACAATGTGTGTATCCACAAGAGTCACGTCACAGGACTAGATCATTTACTGAAGATTAAAAGAGAAAGATTTCAATAATTATATTAGGATGACCATGTGATTTCATGCTAGACTGCTCAGTTTCTGCACCTGAATCCTGTAAGAAAACCATAAAGCACTAATTGTTAAAATGTTAGTTAATTGTTAATTGTTAAAAGTTAATTGGACTTTTATCATGGCTCTGTCCTATTTTCATATACTTATATTGTATTATAATTCATGCACATGCCCTGCACAGAAAAGGACTGGATATAAATGGATGAAATCTTTCCAAATAGAAATGTTCGTCATCTGGTGAAATTATGTTCACTTCACCGTCTAGAATTATATTAGCAGAACAGAATAATAACAGCACAACACACTGTCATACAGCAGTACTCCAGTGCTTGTAATTAGAATTAAATACTAATATTATTAATAAAAGTTTCTTTTAGTCTGGATCACATTATTTCCAGATCAGCAGTGGATTCATTGATCATCCTCATTCTCACTCATTTATGTTGGTTTGAAGTGTTTTCGTCAGAGAGAGTGCGAAGTGGATCACACACAGATGCTAACACTGCTGTTGTTATCTGGGAATAACACACCCTGCAGTGTCACGACTGACCAATCAGAGTGCAGTATTCCAGACAGCTGTGTAGTAAGATATGATCTGTAACTAATACTCCAGCTCTGTGTGTGTGTGTGTGTGTGTGTGTGTGTTTGTGTGTCTGTGTGTGTGTGTTTGTGTGTCTGTGTGTGTGTGTGTGTTTGTGTCCTTCAGGTATAATAACTATCTAGAGGACCCTCTGTCCCGCTGTGAGGAGTGTGACCCGCACCAGAACGCTGAGAACTCCATCTCTGCCCGCTCAGACCTGAACCCTGCTAACGGCTCGTACCCCTTCGGTGCGCTGCAGCAGCGTCCACACGGAGGAACCGACATGAAGGTGCTTATTCCAGCTCTTCTGCTGCACTACAGCGTGCTGACCTCAGCAATGCATTCCTGAGTGTGTGTGTGTGTGTGATGTGTGTGTGTGTGTGTGTGATGATGTGTGTGTGTGTGTGTGTGTGTGTGTGTGTGTGATGATGTGTGTGATGATGATGTGTGTGATGATGATGTGTGTGTGATGATGTGTGTGTGATGATGATGTGTGTGTGCGTGTGTGTGTGTGTGTGTGTGTGTGTGTGCGTGCGTGTGTGTGTGCGTGCGTGCGCTGACGGTGGTGTTGTCCTCCTCCTCAGATGACCAGCTCCAGCATGTTCCGGCAGTGGGAGCTGCTGGCCGCCAGCGGGCCGTCCTGCGAGCAGACACCGGTGTTCCAGTGGAGCCGCTCGCCCTACAGCTCACTCATGCACATGGGACAGCCGGACCGCTGGGACTTCCCCACCGTACACGTGCGCTGGGCCACATGAGGACCAGGACCAGCCCATGATCAATACCTGCACTGCAGTCTCAGGAATCAGCCCAGATCAATGATCAATATACTCTGAGTCACACTAGATGTGCAGCGGTGTTCAGAAGACTGTCATCACACCTTGACATGTGCATGAGACTTTATTCATGCTTATAACAGCTGTCAGTAAGTGTCATTGGCTCAGTTTTGTCATTGTAAATGCACAGATGATGATGTCATAACAAAACAAAAACAGCACAACCTGTATGTTGTTGTCATGATAACGTGATGTCACCAAAACAACATGTCATAAACCTGTCATAAACATGATGGTCATGAAGCATTATAACTGTGTCATGAATATTCATTACTCTGTCAAATCATTGGATAAGAGCTTCATTAATAATTAATGACAGTTAAATGACAAGTTGTTCCACAGTAGATGAGGACAAGAAAATATTAATGACGCTGATATGAAACTCATGACGCATTTATAATGACTTCATGACAATCATGTTTATGACAGGTTTATGACAAGTTCTGTTGTCTTGGTAATTTCAGGTTGTCATGACAAAGACAAAACATTAGTTGTTGATGTATTAGTTGATGTGAAGTTATAACAAACTATGTCATCTGTGCATTTAAAATGACACAAGAAGCGAATGACACCTAATAAGAGTTGTTATAAGCATGCATAAAGTCTTATGAACATGTCATGATTATAAAGGTTTTAAGACAGTCTTATGAACACCTCTCAGAGTAAAGTGTGACCTATGAAACTAATGTTGTGATTAAGAGAATGATTTTATACCGCTGTAATATTTTTGTTCTGAAATGTTGAATAGATCTGCTTGTGATTGATCCGTGTCCTCGTGTTGTCTTTTTAATGTGTAAGTGCTGCAGTCAGAGATGAAGAACATGCAGGAGGTTATGACAGAATAATGCACCATTCACACGGGGCTTCAGCATCCACGCTTGACAGAGGCCGTGTCTGAACTTGGGGCTGAAGCGATCCTCATAGCAGCGTCAGCCAATTAAATTTGTCTTCAATTGGCTATTAAAAGCTGATGTATTTGCATACAGCCATCTGATTGGCTGACGCTTCCGTCGGAGCTTGAAAAGTTTAGAACAGGGGTGTCCAAACTCTGCCCTGGAGAGCCGGTGTCCTGCATAGTTTAAATCCAACCTGCTTCAATACACCTACCAGGAAGATTCTAGTATATCTAGTAAGGGCTTAATTAGCTGCTTCAGGTGTGTTTATTAAGGTTAAAGCTAAACTCTCCCGAACACCGGCCCTCCAGGACTAAATTTGGACACCCCTGGTTTAGAAAGTCCCGACGTCTGCAGCGAGCAACACCTCTGAAGCAGCGCAGACGGATCCACAATGCAGTTCGCCTGACATCACTGATTCAAAGTGAATGGGAAGTGTTGACGCTGACGCCCCGTGTGAATGGGCTGTAAAGCCTGACTGGTTCATCAGCAGCTGAACTTGAAGCTGACTTTATCTGAGTCTTTATTCTGCAACAGCATCCGCCTGGATGTACTTTATCCCTTATTTTACAGGAAGACTCACCACAACACATATGAATAAGACACAAAACATTTCTCTGAGCCTTAATTGTTTTTTAATGCTTTAGTTAACACAGAGCTGATGGAGCATACACTAATCTATACATGATCAGATTGGGGTTCACTAGGGCTCTCTTTTTAGCTTAAAAAGGTGTGAATGGAGATCTGTATCAGAATGGGAAAAGTTTCTTTAAAAAAAACTAAAATTAAAATTATTCATAATCATCCATGAAAAGTCCAGATCGGTCCGTCACTATATATGTTGCTGTTAACTTTCAGATTTGTCCCTTATATTATGACCCGGCAGTTTACAAAGCCATCCCATAATTACACATCCAATAACAGAGGAAAAATCTGAGGAGATCACATCATCCCAGTGTTATTGGTGTTTTTAAGCTGAATGAAGGGTTTTCAGTGTGTTGCTCATTGCAGAGATTCTCTATTAATAAAAAGTTGTGAAAGAGATCAAGCCTTAGCCAGGTGAAAAAAAAGTACCACAGAGCATTACTGACCATGGAGACTATCGCAACTAGAGACTTTTTCTGTGAGTAGCTCAATATTATACTGCATTACACTGGTGTAATCCCACTGCTGAAGGTTTTACTGCAGGCTTTGCTCCACCACTAAACAACATTATTAAACCTCATCATCATCATCAGCTCAGACGTAAGCGTCGAGTCCGTACGCTGCTCTGCTGGACTTCTGCTTGTCTGAAGATGAAGATGAAGAAGAGCTCAGGATGATCTGCTTGTCTCCTGACAGTGGAGACGGCTGCTTCTCTGTCCTGGAGATCAACAGTGAGGAGAATTACAGTGAAATCAACTGGCTTCAGTTTCTACTAAGTGATGCTGAAAGTTTTTTTTTTTTTTTTTTTTGCATAAATGGAGCTTTGGTGAAGCGTTTCATACTGTTGCTGAAGATACGCTGCTTTTTAATAAGGCATGTTGTTGATAAGTGAATAATAGTCTCACTTAAATAAAGCGTGTTGATAAGAGCTGAAATCACTCCGTGTCAGGGACTGAGTTCAGAAACAAGACCTACAGGTGGTCAACTTCATTTACACTTCTGTGAGAGTTTAGTCTTGAAAATGATGGAGAGAAAATCTCTTCAGCGCATCTCTGCTCATAACAGTGTTCATAACTCATCTCTCATAGCTGATGTGTTTCCTCTTCTCCATGATGACAGCACATAATATTAGACTAGATCTTCTTCAGGACACTAGTGTTCAGCTTACAGTGACATGTAAAGGCTTCACTAGGGTAATTAGGGTAAAGTTAGGGTAATTAGGCAAGTCATTGTATAACAGTGGTTTGTTCTGGAGACAATCCAACACTAATATTGCTGAAGGGGTGAATAATACTGAGCTTAACATGTATTCAGTTCTATTCCAGCAAAACTTTTTCCAGAAAATAAATGATATAAAATGCTGTTTATTTTGCTCTGATAAACATCCCTTTGTGAAATATTTAAAAAATAATAAAAACTTCACGAGAGAGCGTATAGTTTTTGACGTCAGCTGTCTGCAACCCTGGACCACAAACCTAGCCGTAAGTGTCCTTCATTCATTCAGCTCGGTCCCCTTATTCATCAGGGTCGCCACATTTACTCCTAGACTAGATCTAGAAGAGCAGCATCAGTGTCGTGATCAGGAATGTGTGCTGATACCTTGACTGGAATCCTTGATTGCCTGCAGTAAAGCTGAACACCAGTCCTCCCAGCATCAGCAGAGCCGATCCTCCCCATCCCACAAACAGAGCCGGCCCCAGCTCATACCTGCAGCGGCAGACGGACGCTCATCACAACTCGACACCAGCTCACATCAGATCATCACTCAGACAATTACCTCTTTCCGACAAAACCTGGGTCCATGAACTCAGACACAACCCTGTGGCCGTACCAGCTGTAGGTGAACATCCCGCACAGACCTGACCAAGAGAAAGAGTTAGTAAAAATGAACATTCTGCCGTCAATTCCTCTGCCTCATGTCAATCCCCTGAGAGCTTCGTTCATCTTCAGACACAGCTGGAGATGTTTTAGCTGAAATCCTGGAGCCCTTCATCCTCCACAGACAGACAGACAGAGTCCCGAGACGCTCAAAGTCCAGATCAGAACAAACATCTAAGGGCTCGTGGAGATTAGGGCTGTCCAAAACTGTCTCAAAATGAGGATGGCTGTGATTCAGAACTCAGAGTATTTATAGTGGCTTAGGAATCATCTGATTGGTCAATCATGAGTTAATAATGCGGGACTGGCTGTGATCAATCATAAGCACGTGATCCTCTCGACATTAGTTTATAAATAAACTCCACAAAGTTCATTTCTGAGTGCAATAACGCTTTAAGAAGAGCAGAAGCACACTCTGCACAGAGCAGACACTGACCTGACGTCAGGTAATTGATGCCTCCAGCGAAGGTGACTTTAGCGTTGACAGTTTCAGATCCTCCCAGTTTGGTGCACTTCATCCCCACCAAAGCCAGAATGGAGCCGAACAAGCCCAGGAGTATAGATGTGAAGAGGAAGGATCGGCACACGTGGATGTAGGCTGTCAAATGACGGACAGGACAATATTCACACTCAGCTCCAGTGATTCTCTCCACACACACGCACGCACGCACACGCACACACACACACACACACACGCACACGCACACATCATCACACACATCATCACACACACATCACACACACATCATCATCACACACACACACACACACACACACACACACATCATCACACACACACACACACACACACACACTAACACACACACACATCACTAACACACACACACATCACTAACACACACACACATCACTAACACACACACACACACACCACCAACACACACACACATCACTAACACACACACACATCACTAACACACACACACATCAC